CAGCCAGTGAGCGGGAACCGGTCTGTATGTGGGATCCAAACCCTCGGCGGGAGTGCCTGCCACGCTCCCAAGCAGCGCACTGTAGCAGTGTGCCACCGGGCCGGCCCATTTTTGGTTAATTTTTGTATATGGTATTAGGTAAGGGTCCAATTTTATTCTTTTGCATCTGGATATCAAGTTTTCCCAGCAACATTTATTAAAAAGACTATCATTTCCCCATTGAATGGTCTTGGCACCCTTGTCAAAAATCATTTGACTATATATGTGAGGATTTATTTCTGGACTTTCTATTCTATTCCATGGGTCTATATATCTGTCTTTATACCAGTACCACACTGGTTTTGATTACCATAGCTTTGTACTGAGTTTTGAAATCTAGAAGTGTAAACTCCTCCAGCTTTGTTCTTCTTTTTCAAGATTGTTCTGTTTATTCAGGATTCCTTGAGATTCTGTATGAATTTTAGGATGGGTTTTTCTATTTCTGCAAAAAATGTCATTGAGAATTTGATAGGGATTGCATTAGATCTGTAGATCACTTTGGGTAATATTGACATCTTAACAATATTAAGTATTCTGATCCATGAGCATGGAATGTTTCCATTTATTTATGTCTTCTTTAATACCTTTTAGTCATGTTTTGTAGTCTTTATCGTACAAGTCTTTTGCCTCCTTGGTTAAGTTAATTCCTAAGTATGTTATTCTTTTTGATGCCATTATAAATGGAATTGTTTTGTAATTTTCAGATTGNCTAAGTATGTTATTCTTTTTGATGCCATTATAAATGGAATTGTTTTGTAATTTTCAGATTGCTCATTGTTAGTGTATAGACATGCAACTGATTTTCATGTCTGATGAATTTTCATGTCTTCTGTTTTATAATGACAATGCCCATCCTTCCCTTGCCAAACTATCCTCTCCTTCTCATGTCAGGTGTGCATGCCTCAGTGCCTTGCCACGTTTCTTCTCTTTGGAGAGAGGGTGAGAACAAGGGTTTGGTGGGGAGATGGGAAAATGTTAGTTTCTCTTTTGGAGATTGGAGATTTTTCTCACCTTCAGTCATTGAGGCCTCATACATTACAAACCAGAAAATCTTTACTAACCATTGTGGATTATATTTGATAAATCTTTTGCCTTTTCTTTTAGCACCCTCTGGCAGATCCACCACCTCCCAACCTGAGTTTCTGTCTACCATTCGACCTTCTGAATGACCTCACCCTGGCCATGATGCTTAGGGATAGTTAGGACTCTACACAATTTGACATTAAGCACCTACATGAAAATGTGAACAACCAGCATTGCTGTATTATTCAATCTGCATGATGACAAACGCTATGGATTTTGCAATACCTTGAGAGCAATTAGATTTTACCTTCATTTTCAAAGTGCATCTTTGGTATCATAATCAAATTTGAGGCATTATTTTGGACAGAAGATAAAAACTCTTTCTTCAAAATAATGTGTGGAATTTTATTCTGAACTTCTATTCTACTCCCCTTCATTTTTTTCTTCTTTACTTCCATAACTGAAGGCATCATGTTAACTTCTATAAGTGAAGTTATAGAAAATGAAAAACCCTAGGTCTGAGATTCTAACATAGAGCAACACTTAAACACTTAGCACTTAAAAAA